GAGAAGTTGTGCAACTCTCCACGAGTTTTTGTCAAAAAGTTATAACGCTTTGAAGTTCTCTAACACGGTAACGTACACCTCGCACCTTTCCGGTAGCAGAGTTACGTGGAATGGCCGTATAAAATAAATACGATAATCTATATACAGAGCTGTGATCGCTGATTTTGTTTTGGATACTCTAGTGGTATTACAAGAAACCCGCTTAAAGGTCAATCAAAAGATATTCATACACAAATACTAACTTTAATTAAAAAATATATTGAACATGAGACGGCCATAGTTCTACATGTTATTCCAGCATCCGTTGATTTCACAACATCCGAATCGATGAAATTGTCGAAAGATTATGATCCAAATGGTGATAGACAACTTATAGCTGTTAGCAAAATAGATAATGAATTGTACTTTAAACATGTCTAGAAGAAAGAGCTTCAATTGTTGTATTGCTGAGTAGTAAATACATTGATCCTGAAATTGACGTACTTAAATAATGACACCCAAATATGACAAAGGAATTGGTGACAAATTACAAGGCTATGGTTTAGGCAGTATGCCGTTGAAATTAGGATGTGTAGCTGTTTTGAATCGTACTCAAGAAGAAATCGAACAAAATATTAGTTTTGATGAAATGAGAAAACGTGAAAATGATTTTTTTAGCAATACAAGAGCATTCGAAAATGTTCCTGATTGCTACAAAGGTAAATGATTGTGCAAATATAAAAAAAAGGTGTGTAAGTGGCACATTAACAGTGAACATCAAGTCAATTCCCATTGATCATCTAGAATACACGCGTGAATGTATAAAATACATACTGGGAAGAGATCGTCTAGGAAAATACACATTTTTCGATGTTGAGTGAATGTTTTGAGGATTTGCATCTGGTAACACACTCTTTCTTTTACAGTGCGTATCATAGATATGATCTATGACACTGTAGAATGGGAACAGGAGTGTGTAGATCGTCATTTCTACTACCCTATTTTTTTATATTGCAGGTAGTGATCAATTAGTTAAAAAATTGGCAACACTTCAACAAAATCGTATTCGCTCAACATTACCCAGTGTCATTGAACAATTACGAATACAAATACGAACGAAACAAGATGAATTAGACGCATTACCAGCCTCATTAAGCACAGAAGCCGAATGCTTGTCAAAATTTAGTGCACTAATGAAAGAATATCGTGAGAGTATTTTAGCGAGAGTAAACGGTATTTATGATCATGATTTATCAATGATAATAGAAAATAAGGTAAACATTTTTCTTACTTTTGTTATAACAACGTTACGATTTTGACGCATGATTTAATTCACTTCTGTCGATTTTCATAATACAAAAACCGGAATATTTCTGTTAATGACAATAATTAACAAACGTTTAATTTATTTTAGACTACTACAGTGGTAAGTTTCGCGTTTAGCGCATCGCCACCACCATCACTATTACC